ATATACCCAGAAGAACAAAAATCATTTTACCACAAAGACACTTGTACTAGAATATTTATTGCATACCAATTCGTAATTGCCAAGTTGTGGAAGTAACCCAAATGCACATCAACCCATGAATGGATTAATAAATTTTGCTATATGTATACCATGGAATACTAGTCAGCCATAAAAAGATAGAGACTTTACATCTTTTATGTTTACCTGGATGGAGTTGAAACATTCTTCTTAGTAAAGTATCTCAAGAATGTAAAAAAAAAAATGTATCCAATGTACTCAATACTATTATGAAACCAATATATAAACACATGGCTCATGAATGATAAACACAAATATAGCTTAGCAATATGGGAGGGGTGAGAAGGGAGGGAAAGGGGAAGAGGAAGGGTGACTGGTGGGAGGAGGAAGGGCATTTTGTGGGATCTTACCTAATGTACACAATGCAAGGGTATAATTCAGAATAACTAAGAGTAAATTTTAAATGTCTTACCAGAAAAAATAAGTGAAGTTGTGGCTATGTTAATCAATTTAAGTGTTCCACATTATATATCAAATAATCACTTCGTGCCACATAAATGTATACTTTATTTAATTAAAAATCAATAAAAAATATTTAAAAAAAATCCTGAGACACATGCAGGAGTAAAAAGCCAGCATAAATACTAATACACAGAACAGCATGGCTAAATCTCAAAACTTTTTCTGAGTGACAAAAGCCAGAATGAAATAGGAGATACTATATCATTTCACTTACTGAAATTTAGAAGAGAAAAAAACTGACAGTGACGGAAAACAGAGCAGTGACTTCCTGGGGCTTTGGATTTAGAGAAAGAGATTGATTGCCATGCTATGTTAGGCAACTTTTCAAGTGCTAGAAATGTTCTGTGTCTTGATTGGGGGTGTCAATTATTTAAAAATACTGTTTTCTTTTCTTTTTTTCCCCAGTATTTTAGAGGGTACAAATACCGGTATTTTTGGTTACATGGGTCACTTTTATAATGCTTAAGTCCCAATTTTAACTGTGCCTGCCACCTAGAGGGTATACACTGTACCTGTTAGGTAGGTTTTCACCTACTCCCTCCTCCTCCCTCTCCCCCTGATTGATTTTCATGGAACTTTACATATCTCTATGCATATTTGTGCTATTGGCTAGTTCCAATTTAATATTTAGTTCATGTAGTGTTTGTTTTTTCATTCTTTAGGTCCTTTACTTAGGATAATGATCTCCAGTTCCATCCAAATTATTGCAAAAGGCATTAAGTTATCTTTTTCATGGCTGAGTAGAATTCCAGGGCATACATATACCGCATTTGATATTCTACTCATGAATTTATGGGCATCTAGGTTTAGTCTGCATCTTTGCAATTGTGAATTGTGCTGTGATAAACATTTGTGTGCAAGTATCTTTTAGATAAAATGACTTTTCTTCATTTGGGTAAATGCCCAGTAGTGGGAGTGCCAGATCAAATAGTAGATTGGCTTTTAGTTCTACAAGGAATCTTCATACTATTTTCCATTCAAGTTGTACTAATTTGCAGCCCTACCAATGGTGTATAGGAATTCCTTTCTCTGCTCGGTGCCCATAGCTAAGTGGTTAGGGCACTGGCCACATACATCAAGGCTGGTGGGTTCAAGCCCAGCCTCCTAAACAACAATGACAACTGTAATAAAAAATAGCTGAGCACTGTGGTAGGCACCTGTAGTCCCAGATACTTGGGAGACTGAGGCAAGAGAATCACTTAAGTCCAAGACTTTGAGGTTGCTATGAGCTGTGATGCATGGCACTCTACAGAGGGCAACATAGTCAGAATCTGTCTCTAAAAAAAAAAAAAAATTCCTTTCTCTCTACATCCAAACCATCATCTATTGTTTTGGGGTGTTTTAATAAAGACTTTTCTGACTATGGTAAGGTGATATCTCATTGTGGTAATTAGTGATGTTGAACATTTATTCATATTTTTATTGGCTATTCATCTATCTTATTTTGAAAAGCTTCTGTTCATGTCTTAATGGGGTTGTTTTTTTTCTTGCTGATTTGCTTTATTTCTTTGTAGATTCTGTCTATTAGTCTTTTACTGGATATACAGTTTGCAAATATTTTCTGCCACTCTGTAAGTTTTCTATTTGCTCTGTTAATTATTTTCTTGGCCATGCAGAAGCTTCTAATTTAATCAAGTCCAATTTATTTTCACTGTTGCTGTGATTGCCATTGGGATCTTCTTCATAAATTCTTTGTCTAGGCTGATATCTAGAAGAGTTTTCCCAACATTTTCTTCTAGAATTCTTATAAATTCATGCTTTACATCTAAATAATTTATCCATCTTGAATCAATTTTTATAAGTGGTGAGAGATAGGTATCTTGTTTTATTCTTCTTTATGTGGCTATTCAATTTTTCCAGCACCCTATATTGAATACGATTCTTTCCCACAGTATATTTTTTTGTATGCTTTGTCAGAGATCATATGACTATTTGTGGATTGTTTTATGTCTGGGTTTTCTGTTCTGTTACATTGGTCTATGTATTTATTTTCGTGTTAATACCATGTTGATTTATTGAAGGAGTTTTGAGTCACCAGATTAGGGGGCCTTGGTGCAAGGAATTTAAAAGCTTGACACAAAGTCTGTGTCAGGGGACTGAGGCACTCTGGGAGGAGCCCTCCAGAGTAAACCTTGAGTTAGTATTTATTATCACAAAGCAGGAAAAAGTGGTTAAAAGTTACTTATGAGACATCAGCATTAGGAAAGGGGGAATATGGAAAGTGTCTGAAAGAATGTCTCCAATTTGTTTCACAAAATCTCAGTCCTGAGCACAACCTGTCTCCAGCATCAAGAGACCTTTGGAATCTAGAGAATCTTTACCATCATCATTATTGACACAACTCACACGTACATTTTCTCTGGCCTAAATTATCCTGTTCCCCAAATAACAATTACTGTCACATGAAACTCACTAACGAATAACTCTCAAGTCCTATGCTGCTTACTGTGGTCTTCTTCTGTCTTTATTATTTCTGAATATTTTATAATAAGTCTTTAAGAAGATTGCAACCTGCTCTTATCAATGAGATTTTCTCTGTAGTTTTCATAGGGCACCTCAGTAGTTTTTCTGAATATGAATTCCCATGTGGGAAGGGCTGGAGTAATGCAGGGTCCTTCCAGTTTACTCTTATATTTTTTCTCTTTATTTTCCATTAAATCTGAGTTACCATATTGTACCTAATACCAGAAAATGTACACTATTATTGCATCAAACATCATGTTGTGCACCTAAAAAAAATTATTCTTAAATCAGTCAGTTAATCTGTCCATCCATCTATCTTGCTTTTACTCCTGGGGATATTATTTTGGGGATTCATCTCTCCATCTTTTTCTTTTCTTGGAGGCTGAGTTTGACCTTCTCTACCTTCATTTCCCAGTAACCTCTCCTTGGTTTTCTTTCTGACATTTCTAAAGCTAAAACAGTCTCCTGGGCTGTTCATTTAAAACATATTAGTTGCTCTGACTGCTGCCAAGGTCCTTAAGCTGTTGCTGTGCCAACCAGATTCTCAAGGCCAAGGCATTACCACACAGTCTTTTATAAGTGTGTTGTTGTTTTTCTCTGTGTGTGTATTCTGATTTTTCCACTTTGGATTTGTGGTACTTTATTTCTTTGGATTTTTTCCTGCCACTTCAATCCTAGAAGCAGCCATATTCTTCATGAATTCAGGGCTGTCACACTTCTTGATCTAGTTTCCAATAAAGCTCATCACCCTTTTGAGTCTTTGAAATTCATAACCTGGACCAAGGCCTACCTAAATGAACAATCTGAAGCAATTCAAGAGTTTATGGTCAAGGAAGGGGGGACTTAGAAGCAAGGCATGCAAGTCATAAACATCTTTAGGTGAGTCACACTAAGTTGCCCTCTTTGACAATGAATGTAGTTCAGAACAGGATAAAGAACAATGTAATTTGGGCAACTGGTACCACCTACTAACAGTTAAAGCCCCAATAAATCTTCATCTACTGAAGCTCAGTCTGTAGCCATGACAGAGAAACAGAATGGAAGATGGGAAAAATCTATTGTTACCCAATCATGACACTGTGCTAAAGAATATGTCCAAGAAAGATATAGAAGTTTTATTTATAATAGTCAAACACTAGAAACAACCCCAATTCTCATTAGCAAAAAAATGGATAAACAAATTGTGGTATTTTGTTGGATGGAAAATCAGAAAAATAAAAATAAATTCAAATTAAACATTTGAGCAATGTTTCATAGGTGCTGTTGCATACTTCATGTTGCATCACATCACAAGGCACATAATAATGCTGGGTTTCCCAATAATAGTAATACTAAGTTTAATCATTTGATTAAGATTTCTACATTGACACAAATATTTTTTCCTTTATAATCAGAAAATTACTGGGGGTATGTGACACTTTGAGACTTTTTGCATGTCTTTTGCTTTAACAGTTTTCCCCCAATAATTTTAGCATCCATTGATGATCCTTACCAAAATCTATTATATACTGGGCTGAAAAATAATGATTTTTCTAAATCTATCATCCTTCTATATTTATTAGCTGCCATTCTTCTGTAAAGAAAAACTTTCCTTTTTAATTTTCTCAGGTGCAAATGAGGAGGCAGCACAGTGGACACCCTTATGGGTGCAGAATCTTCCAGTTTTCCAAGGTGCCATTACTGGGGTTGTATTTGATCCCATAGCCATCTGGGATGAACTGCTCTTCAGCCACCATGTCTTCAAATTCATTTACATTAAATTTGGTAAAGCCCTACTTCTTTGAGATATGAATCTTCTGGCAGCCAGGAAACTTGAACTTGGCCCTGCACAGGGCCTCAGTCACATGCTTCTTTCTCTGCAGGAGTCAGTGGTGACTTGGCCAATATGAATCCTGGCTATAGTGCCATGGGGAGTTCCAAATGCATGATGCATACCTGTCTGGAGCCTAGATTGGAGACAGCATAAAGTCTGACACATGAACATATATTGTAAAGGACTATCTTTCCAAAGTCCCTTACAGCAATCAATATAAGCAACAGGTTGTATACACTACTAATGAGGCCACTGTTTCCAGCCATTACACACCAAGCCCTCATGAAGAAATGAGTCATTTTTTGTTTCTAAAATTTTTTTTTTGTGGTATCACTCTCAAGGACTTAGAAATAGGGGACAGAGGAATCAAGATGGCCAACTCGAAGCAGCTTTCACCAAAGGCTTCTGTCCAGAGGGAGGAGGGAGAAATATTAGACAGAAATGGACTCAGTGAAGCTGAAGTTGGGGAGCTGAGCATGGAAAGAAGATAGAGAAATGCACATCATCTCTGCTAAGATGAGCTGTGAGTCCAAGAAAGACAATAAAGATCAAGTACAAAGTCCATTGCCAAGATGACAGAAACCCCTTTCCAAAGTAGGAGACTCAAGGGAGGCTCTCTGCAAGTGAGCAGGGAACAAAGGACCTCTCACATTATCCCATGGGAGAGAGCCACTAAACCTAGGTTCTCTTCCTCTAGGGAGTTCCCAACTCTGAGCCTAGGCATCATTCCACCTGGCACAAAATTGAACAAATATTTTCTCTGCAATTTTGAACACACAGTTCATCCATCCCCCCTGGATGCCTGAAAGTCTGCCTCCTGAAAAGCCTGGAGTGTTTGGCGAATTTGCTAAGAGGCTTGGGCATTGTGTGGGCCAGCAAACAGCAACATGGAAACAGTGGTGCATATGGAAGCAGGGGGCACAGGGAGAGAGGGACACATTCAGACACAGTGGTGCCTGCAGTGTCCGTGGATCAGCCTGAATTAGTGGTGGGAATGGATGCAGTGACACCCCAGTTCTGACTTTGGTGGGTGATCTTTCCTGACTCCCCTTGACACTGGAGGGGACTCTGCTCCAGCCCCTCAGGATTGCACAAATGGATCTGCCTGCAAATTTTCACTTTCTGGCTACTTGGCAACCTTTGAACTCTTTCAGGTGAGCAATGTGTATACTGCCTGGGACAATCTGATTGGATCTTTCAACTTTAGATATCCACCTAGGGACTTTCCAAGGTTGAGTGGTGGTGGTATTGTAGTGGAGAGGGATAGAGTCTCCTTCACCAGCTGTCACTGGTAGGGTGTGAGCTGCCACAGGTGTTTGTATATTTCCCACCCAGCTGAGATTCCAGCATAATACCACAACCCATCAGGATTTGGTAGATGCAGGCTGACATCAAGACAGAGCCAGCTTGTATCTTCTCACCAAACTGGCCCTCAGAATGTGTGGCTGCAGCTCTGAAAAGACCTTTGAAAGTTATACGGAAAAAGTCACAATCACAAGCCCCAGCTTATTGGTGAAGGGTTGGTTAGCTCCAGTTCCTGGGACCACAATCCAGTCTCACTCTGCCAGTTTTAATTTCCAAATAGTGGAAAATACCTGTGGAGGGGAACCAGCAGAAGAACTCTGGAAACATGAAAAATTAGAGTAGATCAATTTTCCTGCAGGATGACAAGGGAGATGCAACAGAAAATACCATCCATAGAGACATTGCTGAAATGTCAGAAATAGAATTCAGAATATGGACGGCAAATAAGATGAATAGAATAAAGGAAAAGATAGAAATAGAAATCCAAAAAGTTGGATTCTAGTTCAAAAGTTGTCTCAAGAAATTAATGATTCAAAGACAAAGTCACCAAGGAAACAGACATAGATAGAAGGCAGCAGAGCTTAAGGACTTGAAAAATGCATTTGAGGAGCTCAGAAATACGGTAGAGATCCTCGGTAATAGAGTTGAGCAAGCAGAAGACAGGATCTCAGAAGTCAAGGAAAAGGCTTTTGAATGATCCTAATCATTCAAAGAAATAGGAAAAAGGAGAATAAGAACAGAATATTCCCTGAGAGAGTTATGAGATCAATCTAAAAGATCAAACATCCAAATTATAGGGATTTCTGAAGAAGAGGATAGTCCTAAAGGCACAGCTGCTATACTCCAAGACATTATAGTGGAGAATTTCCCAAGCACTGCAAGAGATACAGAAATTCAGACAGTAGTTTCAGAACCCCAGAATGAATCAATCCAAATAAAGCATCTTCTAGACACATTGTAATTAACTTTGCCAAAGTTAACATGAAGAAGAAAATCCTGCAAGCAGGCAGGCATAAGAAAAGCATTATCTACAAAGGGAAAAATATCAGGATGACAACATATCTTTCAGCAGAAACTTTTCAAGCCAGAAGAGATGGTCATTGACCTCAACCTTCTAAAACAAAACAACTTTCAGCCGAGGATCTTGTATTCAGCTATACTGAGTTTCATTTGTGATGGAGAAATCAAATACGTTAATGAAATCCATATGTTAAGGAAATTTGCCATAACTAGACCAGCTCCCAGGAAATACTTAGACCCATTTTTCGCATTTTTTGGCTGGGGCTGGGTTTGAACCTGCCACCTCTGGCATATGGGGCTGGCACCCTACCCTTTTGAGCTACAGGCGCTGCCCCGGACCCATTTTTCATAATGACAAGCACAGTGGTCTACCACCAAAGTAAACTTAGAATTTAAGAACAAAACCTAGCTTCTGCAATGGTGAAAGGGTTAAAAATATGCACAGGACCTTTGAATAACAAGATGGCCAAAACACTACCATACCTATCAATTATCTCAATTAATGTGAATGGCTTAAATTGTCCTCTAAAGAGGCACAGGTTGGAAGCTGTGGTATATGTATATCATGGAATACTATTCAGCCATTAAAAAGATGGAGACTTTACATTTTTGTATTAACCTGAATGGAAGTGGAAAACATTATTCTTAGAAAAGCATCACAAGAATGAGGACACAAGAATCCCATGTACTCAGTTCTCATATGAGGACAATTAATGACTGAGTACATGGTGGGGGTAGAGGAAGGGGAGAGCAGAGAAAGGGAAGGAGGGAGGATGGCAGAGGAAAGGGAGAGAAGAGAGAGGGAAGGGGGAGGAGGATGGGGAAGGGAAGAGCAGGGAGAGGGAAGAAGGGAGGGAGTGGGGTGGTCACGGTGTGTGACACACCTTTGGGGGCAGGACACAATTATAAGAGGGACTTTATCCAACAAATGCTATCATTGTAACCTGGTTCTTTGTACCCTCGATGAATCTCCAACAATAATAATAAAAAAAAGGCATGGATTGGCTGACTGAATACAAAAGCTCAGGCCAGGTATCTGTTGCTTCCAAGAGATACAACTTACCTCAAAGGACAAAACAAGACTCAGGGTGAAGGGATGGACAACTCAATACCAATATGAAACCAACATACAAACAATTAGACACTCATATGAATGATAAAACAGAAATACAGTCTAGCAACATAAGAGGGGTGAGAAGTAAGAGGGGAGGGGAAGGGGGAGGGCTATTGGTGGGAGGAGGGAGGGCATTTGGTGGGATCTCACCTAATGTGTACAATGCAAGGGTATATTTCAAAATAAGAGTAAATTTTAAATGTCTTACCACAAAAAGTAAGTGAGATGGTGGTGATGTTAATCAGTTTAATTTAAGCATTCCACATTGTATATCAAATCGTCACATTGTATCCTATAAATGTATAGAGTTATGATTTTAATTTTATATGTGGTTATACAATTCTTCCAGCACCATTTATTGAAGAGGGATTCTTTTCCCCAGAGTATGCTCTTGTTTTGTTTATCAAAGATCGGATGATGATAAGAGGCTGGTTTCATCTCTAGGTTTTCTATTCTGTTCCACACGTCTTGTGTCTCTATTTTTGTGCCAATACCATGCTGTTTTGATTGCTGTAGATTTGTAGTATAACCTGAAATCTAGCAGAGTGATGCCTCCAGATTTGTTTTTATTACTAATATTTGCCTTAGCTATACAGGGTTTTTTTCTGGTTCAATATAAAATGAAGAACAATTTTTTTTAGTTCTTCAAAGTTTGATGTTGGTACTTTAATGGGCATTGATTTAAATACATAGATTGTTTTGTGTAATACAGATATTTTAACAATGTTGATTCTTCCTAGCCAAGAGTATGGTATGTTCATCCATTTGTTAATGTCTTCTGCTATTTCTTTTCTCAGGGCTTCATAATTTTCTCTATAGAGATCCTTCACCTCCTTGATAGATATATTCTCAGGTATTTCATTTTCATTGAAGCTACTGTGAAGGTCACTGTGTCCTTGATTTGATTCTCAGCTTGGTTGTTTTTGGCATATACAAAGGCTATTGATATTTTGGACATGGATTTTATACCCTGTGATGTTACTGTATTTCTTGATAGCTTCCAGAATTCTTGTAGTTGAGTCTCTGGGGTTTTCTAAGTACAGGATCATATCATTGGCAAAGACAGAGGGAGAGATTGACCTTCTATGCCCCCATTTGAATGCCCTTGATATCGTTCCCTTGCCTGATTGTATTAGCTAGAACTTCCATAACTATGTTGAATAGTAGTGATGATAGTAGACATCCTTGTCTGCTTCCAGTTCCAGGTGGAAAAGCTTTCAGTTTTACTCCATACACTATAATATTGGCTGTGGATTTTCCATAGACAGTTTCTATCAGTTTAAGAAATGTCCCATCTATGCCTAATTTCTTAAGTTTTCTTATCAGAAAGGGATGCTGAACTTTGTAAAATGATTTTTCTGCATGTATTGAGAGGATCATATGATCTTTGGTTTTGCTTCTAGTTATGTACTGAATTACATTTATTGATTTGTGTATGTTAAACCAACCTATCATCCGTGGGATAAAGTGACTTGGTGATGATATACAATTGTTTTAATATCCAGTTGTATTCTATTTGCTAGGATTTTATCGAGTATTTTTGCATCAGTATTCATTAGTGAGATTGTTCTCTGTTGAGGAGGATTCTCTTCTCAATGTTTTGAAATAGTTTCTACAGTATAGGTAGAAGCTCTGCTTTGAATATATCATAGAATTCTGGTACGAAGCCATCTGGTCCAGTGCTTTTATTTTTGTTGTTGGGAGCTCTTTTATTGTTTCTTCTATTTCAGTACTTGATATTTTTCTCTTCAAGAAATCTAATTTTTTTCTGGTTATGTCTAAGGAGGTAGTATGATCCAGGTAATAGTCCATTTCCTCCACATTGTTAAATTTCTGGGCATAGAGATTTTGTAGTAATCAGAGATGATCTCTTGT